ATTATATATTGTTCTACAATGGAAACGGCGTAGCATATAGAATCAAAATACGACAAACACAGGACTATCAAGTTACACTTGTAACAATAAATTATTTGTTAAACGAATACGAAAATCTGACTTTAATTTAGAAAATACCGGCAACACAAATCCGGCCACCTAATTGTTAACCTTAGCCAAATGAATTACTAAAGGACCTTTGAGACCGTCAATAATTTGACCAGTAATGTGGGAGTGATACCAATATGTGCCTTGATAATGTGTACATATAATTGATAATAAGTGTAAATATTCAATTTACAGATACAGTAAATCAAAATTATATAAAGGAAATTTACCGTATTGATTAAGAGTGAAATTGTAAAGAAACGAAACTCCATTAGGGATCGGACATTGTGTTACGCCCACAGGTCCATCGTAAAAATTTGTGCCATTTTGAAATAGACCGTGCCAATGTACTTAAAAAAGAAAACAAAATGATAAAATAAAAAATATCATTCAGATAAATGATTAGATTTATTTAATTTACCAGTGGCCGGGTCTCCAAATTTATTGGTGACGTTGATGAGAAGCCTGTCTCCAAAGTTTGCTTGAATTATCGGAGCTGGATATTGACCATTGACGGTCCATCTAAATTTCACGAGAATTAAATCAATAAGAAACGTGAAATTAACTTTTACAGTATTATGTAAATTATAGGAGCAAAAATAATTATGTCACTAGGTTATATCTCATTGTAAAGACGTGTTGACACGTCTTTACAATGGGATAAGGATGGAAAAGGTTTTTTATGATTATGATCTTAATCCAGATTTAACTATTTGAACATTATCATTACTTCTTTTAAATCAGTGGGAAAATGGGATATAACTTAGTGACATAATTATTTCTGCTCATATATGAGTTCCATCAAAGGAAATTATATAAAATCTATCATCATGATAGACGGCTAGTTGTACACAAAAATATAACTGAAAGTCCGATGACAATCGACGGCACTCATATGTAGCACTATAAATACTGTAAAAAAAAAAAAAAATCGATAAATGTCATACACTGGTCGCAGGAGCCAATTGCTTTACTATTAATTCCATATCGTAGCACCGAGTTACTGGCATTTTGGTTTGTGGTAAAGGCTTGAGAGTTTGAAACATATTAGAAGAAACGTAAGTACATTCGTCTGTACTTGGGCTCAGCAAAGCATAATTGCATGAGTTGAATAATATGAAAAATGTGAATATTATTTCGATTTTCATTTTTGTTTAGTTCATAAATAGAAAGAATTAAAGTGATGAACTTTCATCGCTTTTTATATTTATTTTTTTTATTAGTATTTATTTTCATCTATGATTAATAGTTAAATTTGACCTTTTGTTGAAAAGGTATATTGGAAAATATATTTTCATGCATAGATTCTTGTGCCTATTCGATTTGTAACTACAGCGGACCTTCTCCCTCTAAATTAGTGCCCTACAAAATCAAATAAAATCTTGATTTTCAAGTTTTTGAATCTATCGATTTACAGTATTGTGCTTTGATTACAAGATCTATTTTTACTCTAATCTGACTTTAAACTTCCGAATAATCGATTTTTATATTTATTTTTTATATTTATTTTTTTTCACCTATGATTAATAGTTAAATCTGACCCTTTATTGAAAGGTATATTGCAAACTATATTTTCATGCATAGATTCTTGTGCTTATTCGATTTGTAACTACAGCCAGACCCCCCCTCTAAAATAGTAATCGACAAAATCAAACTAAAACTTGATTTTCAAGTTTTTGAATCTATCAATTTACAGTATTACAAAATCTATTTTTACTCTAATCTGACTTAAACTTCATGATAAGTTACCACGAAGTCTAAAGTAAGTTCGGATGCCTGTTAGATTTATATATGGGCATATAGATTACTAGGAAAATCGATGTTTGGCATTTTCTGGTCAATTTTAAGATTTTGGATTCAAATGAAAGTACTTATGATTTTGGGTCAAAATCCCGAACAACGGATTATCGAAAGAACTTAATACCGACTAAATTGGCCAGCATTATGGCTAGTGCCGGCTAACTTTGTCGGTATTACGTTCTTTTGGGGATCCATTGTTCGGGATTTTGACCCAAAATCCTCAATTATATACAGTGCTTTTTTTTTCTATATTGACTTAATAAACTATCGAAAATTTTAAATTTTAAAAGTTGTTCTTTGATATTCTAAAAATAGATGACAACCAAGGATTATCCAATCAAAATTAACTGATCGAATGTGTGATATAAACTTTTTAATATCACATTTTTTGTATTTTAGTTATTAAAAACAATATATGTAAAAATATATGATCAATATATAAAATCACAATTAGCAATCACATCTAAAAATAAATCAGTAAAATTCTTAGCACAAAGTTTAGTTGAATTTTTCCCAAAATTAAAACTACCCTTCAGACGGTGGTTTTCCTAGCAAACAGCCCATATTTACTAAAAATAAAATTTTTTTTCAGTGCCCAATATTGTAAATTGATATTTTCAAAAGCTTGAAAATCAAGTATTTGTTTGATTTTGCCGTGCACTACTCTAAATGTATGATTGAAGGCTAGTCACATGTATAGTTCTTGGCATGATAAAAAAATTTGGCATGCCGTCTGGCATGTCAAATTTTTTATCGTGCCAGATGCATGCCATAATCACATGATTTATTTGTTTAATTTAATTTGTTGATTGCACCTTTATATATTTATATATATTATATATATCTGATATAAGGCATGCCAAGAGCCCTACCCACATGGAACTTGCAGATAAATGCACGTTCTTTATTCTGTAAGTGCACGCCAAGCACTTTCGCAGATTAGGCCGATTTTCAGATCTTTACTATACGGATCAGGTTTTTAAGTTCGGCCTATACTATACTTATCTGCTCTGCCCGCCTATACCATACTAATCTGCTATAATTTCTGCACGCCAATTGTTTTAAAAACTCCTTTATAATTGCTTCACGTGATTATTAACCAATAAATTTATTATCTCCAGGCTACTAAAGCCACATTTATCGCTTGAAAATACAGGATTTCAAATTCGTAACGTTTACATGAAATTTGATTTTGATCTACCATCGATATCTTGTGATCTAGTGATTGTATTTCGATTATTCGAATCGTCTCATCAAAACGAATCGGATGATACTAAAATTATTGAAATCCAATCGCTAGTTCACGTGATAGATCAAAATCAAATTTCATGTAACGTTACGAATTTGAGAATTTGGTCAACAAATCCTATACTTACATTATGATCTTAATGTTCTCTAATTGCAACTCTCTCTAAATGCCTGCTCTAGAGCTGGTGTCGACGACGTGCATTTAGATCTGACTGTATAGTAATTTTTGTAATATGTATCGTATTTGCAATTATAGATTGTAATCACTAGTAACTACTGAGCAACTAATGCTGTGATAAATAGCTGTACATGGCTTTACAATTGATCAAAATAATAGCTTATTCATAATTTCACCGCATTTGGTCGCACAATAGTTACTATATTTGCAATGCATAATTTAAATATTCCTAAATTCACAAATCGAATATGCATAATAATAACTTTAATAGTGTAGCACTTACATAAATAATTGTGCAATTAATTATACCATGGTATTAGTGTCTAAAATTCGAATGTGGATCCAGTCAAATTTGCTTGATTTCTGAAATAAAAGCAATCTAATCGGATCTGTACATTCGAATTTTAGTATTAATTAAAACCTTAATAGTGCTACTATGATTTTGCCCAAATTTTTATCATTAAGATTTTCTAAATTAACAATTTATGAAAGCTTTAGGCGCTTGAATTGTTTAAAGAGAGTTAGTATTACAATATGAGGGATTATTACCGTTGCAATAGTTTAAAAAGTAAGCATTGGGGTGTACAACATCAGTATAATTACAAACATAATGCAGGTTCATTAATCAAGATTTTTTTATAGAGTACCGTAGATCGACGATAATAATAGTAAATAAGGTAGCTGCGCTAATTGCGCTAAAACCAGGAACAGGTGAACCAATAAATTATATTCAGATTAAAATCATAACACCTTATCATTATAATTGATACTGTATTACTGAATTATGCTATCGTGGCATATGCCATAATTAATTATGAATAAAATCTTGAATGCTGTAAAAGCAGTAAAAATTCCGTGTTGCAATTTTGCCACGTTGCCGTAAATTTCTATTAACCCTACTTTTCTAACTTTTTATGAAATATTAATATACGTTAATATCCACTTTCAATCTTTATTGAGCCTTCTCATCCATTAATGAACCCAGTTCTTGATTGTATCCTTCAATCTTTTATCACACTTCTTACCAATTTTTCATTATTTCAGCAATATGGCATTACATCACGGCGTTACAGACATTACAGTTTATAGTTTCTTAATCTAATGAATAAAATCTACCGTAAGTAGAGCTCGGATCCGGTGGATAACGGTTATCCGTTTAGTCTGTTTTTCGGATATCTGCAAATTTCAGATATCCGTTTGTAAATTATCCGGATAAATCCGTTGAATTAATCAAAAATATAGTCAATTCGAATTTTTTATAACAAACAATCTATATAGAAAATTTTATGGATTTTTATTATAAAGAATTATTATAAAAAAAGCAGCCGCAATAAGAATATATGTATTTTATTAATATTATCAATGCATGTACATAGTAATATAATTCTGAAAAATAATGCTAATAAATACAGTATTTTATAACACTATATTTTACGGAAACATTGCACCAGTGCAATTGGTGTTTCTTTTAAGAAATAGCATGCGTTCAAATAAATCTGCATTTAAACAAGT